CCGGCTTCCGTAGCGTCGTGAGCGCGCATGTCTCGGTCACCATAGACCTCCATTATTTGAATGTCAGCAGACAGCAAGAAGCCTCCCAGATCTCCAGATGCATTTGAGATATCAAAAAAGTACTCCAGAGTGTTGTTCAGCATGGGGGTGAGTAGAAAATGAAGGCTAATCATGTTTTGGGAGTACTATTCCTTTAACAGTAGCGACAGTTGAACTTGGTCATGCATCCATTTAAACATTTGAGTTCCCAGGATTCTGAAAGTTATTTTAGCCGTATTACCTTCTTAAGTAAGGCGGTGTTTGTACTGGGTTTCAAAGAGCAAAGCACCTACAGGTGGTGGAGGAAGTTTCATCGTTTTAAGCTATGCTACTAATGTGTTGTGCACAGAAATTGCAATTCACGTGTCGTCATGTTAACAATTAGAGAAAAAAAACACATAAAAACAATCCCATCTGTACTTTACTTTTACACTGGAAGTATGATAAATGTCCCTCAATATCCCTCTGGGTTAAAGACATGATGTTTTTTCTGAAGCTTGAGAAAATCAAATATACCCTTCGAGAGTCTACACAGAAGTTTTATCAAAAGTCGCAATGCTTTCTCTCATATTTTTCAAACTTAGTTTTGTCCGATTAAAGGTGCCTGCCATTGTATTTTGTGTTGGTTTATGAGCAGGGGTTTTCATACCTGATGAATGACATCCATCAATTTTATTTTCCATGAGGTAGTCTTTGAGAAGGTATATGTATACACATACCTTTGTTTTGTTATTTCCTCCTTTGGCCCCCAAAAAAATAATAAAAACAAACAAACAAAAACAAAACAATCCCATCTTTAACAGATGGTAGTTTTTGCTGAGGGCTACTCCTTACCAGGATACTTCCTCTTGAATGAGGTCACTCCCAGATACTCGCTGACCTGCTCCTGCAGCATATAATACTCTCCTGTATCATCAGGTGGCCACTTATATTCTGTCAGGTTTTCTGCAGGAAAATATGTCGCCCTGAACAGGAATGTGAAGGAGATTAAAGACAATGGTGAAGCTGATGAAAACATTAAGCCAAGCCTGAAGTCTAAAACTGACATAGACAATGGCTATTTATTACTTCCTTTCAAGTATCTGGACAGTTTACCCAAGCTCTTGATTGAAGGTGTCACAACTTCTGGAGCTATCTCCTGAACCCATTCTCCTTCTTTTGGGGGGCTGGCTGCCATCATTGGAAACCTCATCTATTACATCTTCCTACAGACAAAATAAAAAACTGTATCAAACAAAGGATTCCCATCAAATATGGTTAACGATTGTAGATAGGCGATTCTAAATTCCCTTATTTTAATGCTTTAATGTGAGACACAAATGGACTATTAATGCATTCTCATTCAGAGTTAGGAGTGGGCTGCTATATATGCCATGGTTTGAACTGTTCCCACAGAGCTTTAACACCAATCCAATCATTTAAAGTCCTATTATAATTAAGAGCAAGTTTTTCCTCAGGTATAAAATATAGAAAAATAATCTGCTGATTGCTCTGCTGTAATTCTCTAATCTTCAATGACCCATTTTCATTGGTTTAAGTGGATGGTCATTGTAATTATTATCAAAAATAAAGGCTTGAAAAGAGCAGTTCAAATATAGTCTTTCATTTTTTGAATTAAATAATTGAACTTTATCAACTTATCATTGATCATCTATTTTAAGTGTTATATTAAAACATAGAGCGAATGTATTTGAGAAAGAAAAAAATATTGTATTCATTTCATTCCCCCTATTAAAACTATTCATAAAAATAACTTAAAATGAAATCAATACAAACTGCAAATGTCAATCTGTTACAAATTAAAAATTCATTTTTTTTACAGGACCATAAATAAATAAATATATGGAGGTAATAATGTAAAAAAAAAAAAATAACAGTGTTGAGATACAGATTTGAGTCCCGTTATTCCCAATAGTCTAATAACTTACATTGGGACTGTTTATGAACAGGGAATGTGAAATGAAAACAAAGGAGGGATGCTAATGCGCCTAACGTTCATTTAAGCTAGCCCCTAGCTGGCCTGTTGTCACGTAGAATATAGAAAATAATTTTATTGGTAAAATGAAAGATATCAGAAATGCTACCTTTATAGATTGAGCTCCAGGAGTGGCGGGGTTGCTGTCACAGGGGGGTCGGATGGGAAGTACAGCTGCCATTTCAGAAAGAAATGATAACGGCAGCTAAGCTAGTTTACTAGCTGTGTCTCTTCTTGTTCTTCGCTAAATGTTTGAAGATTGTAATAACATCAGTGACCCCTGGTGGCGGGAGTCTTTATAACCGCGCATATTCTTTTAAATGTAATTTCTAAATACATGAAAGCAAAATAAAATTTATTTTTAAAATTATAATTAAATAAAACGAAAGCAATTCAAAAGATTATTTCATTTACTGAATACGAGACGGATTTCATATTTTTAATAGTTATGCTTTCCATTATTATCACCACTTTAATTTAATATAATTTCAGATCATTTAATAGTGCAGTGCAGTTTTACTACCACTTATTTTGTGTTAATTACTGCCCCAGGGTATTGTTACTGTATCTGCAGTGCTAAAGTAGTGACTTTTAGTCTATTTTATTACTGAATCTGGTGTCTTTCCATCAAACACGGTAATGTCATTGTAATTATTAGATCAAGAATTTATCAATTACTTCCAGCAGTGTGGGTAGGTCCCAGGTCCTGTTTTAATCAGCATCTGCATAAAGGTTTCCGAAAGAAAGCTTGAAATGCTGTAAAATTTCTCATAAAATGCCTATGTGGACTTTGGAAGTGTTTAAACCTAGTGGACCAACACCACAGAGCATAAAATAGATGCACACATTTTATCTCAGGTAATTTGGATTCAGTCCCTCTCATCTATTCGTGTATACTCTCTTCAAGTTTGATTTCTAAAGCTACAACAAAGCTATAAAAAGAGTGTTAAAAAGCCAGTGTGTGGACCCCTGACTACCATAAGAACAGTGTGGAGCTACAGGTGGGAAGGTGATTTGGAGAAGTGTGTTTGCTCTCTGAAGCTGTATAAGAAGCTTATGCAATTGTTTTTTTGCTTCTTTTTTCTCCATTGTATTAATTCCCCCTTAACTGGTGCACAGATCTGTGTCAATGTGAGCCTGATTGTGATAAAGCTTTAACTCCTAGTGTTTCCTGAGGATGTGCTGTATTGTTAGATGTCAAATGCTTCTGACTCCTCTGGTTTGAGTTTGGTTTAACAAAATTGATCAGAAATAGAAAAATAAGAAATCAAATTTAGGCAAATTTTAAGTATCACAGCTTTACAGTAAAACTTGAATTGAGCCGAGGTACATACTGTTTACACAGATCATCCTTGGGATGTTTCTACAGCTAAGACAGCGTTAACCTGTAATGAATTCAGTGGATCTTTTTGGTCAAACTGAATTAAGCAGCAATTTTTGTATTTTACTTTTTATTAGGGGAACACAATTAGGGAAATGTGATTTTTCTTTTCGAGATGAAGTGTAACATGTTTTGTTTTGCACTAATTATGTTAATAAGAAAAAAATCGATCGGTGTGTAGATTACAAGCAGACAACTAAATATAAAATAGCTTTTAGACAAAAACTCAGATTTCTATTCTTTATCATTGACGTCATTTTTAAAATTACTCATTGATAAAGAGAATATAGAGTTGTTTTTTTCACTGTTTCAGTAATACTGGTATCCCAACCTACAATCCACTTCAGTTGGTGGTTTAATGCATAGAAAGTTCTTTGTCAACATCCAATAACAACAATAATAATATTAAGAAGAATAAGCAGACATTTAGTTTATTGGACATAATAAGGAAAGGTGCACACTTATTTTAAGGAAAATAAACAGAAACAAGACAATAAAGAGGTAATAAAGTTTGATTAGAAAAAAATGAACACAAGAATCTGTAATAAAGAATTATGGGGGAAAAAACAGAAAGGCATGTACAAAAAGTACTAGATTGAGAGTATGTCATATCTATGTCATATCTATCTATTTATTTATTTATGTATTTATTTATTTATTTATCATTTATATAATGAAAAAAGGAACAAAAATAATTTTATGGTAATAAATATCAATAAAGTGAGGATCAGGTTTTGATTAAATAGGGAAAATATTGAGAGAATGGGGTCTAAAAGGAACATCATTAGAAAACATAGAATGATATTGATGAGTTCAGGATTACAGATAAAGTTTAACTAACTCGATGTTATACTCTGATTACAAAGAGTTCCTTTAATTTTTTGGAGTAGTGTAGTTATATTATTGCATCAGATAGTCAAGCTGCATTATTAAGTATCAAATCTGGCAAGTCTTGTAGATTAGATTTATTATTATTATATATAGGCTATATCACCTATTAGTTCAGCTTCATAATAAGAAATGTTTTGTTCGATTTATCTATCTTCCTGCTCATGTAGGGATTGAAGGAAATGTAAAAGTAGATATATAAGCTAAACGGGCCTTAAAATCAGAGATTATTATCTTAAGTATTCCTTTAAGCAGAAGTTAGGGTAAATCTATAATTCAGAATAAAATCTCCAGCCTGAAGAAGAATAAGAAAAAGAAGAGGGCTCCACCTGGTGGTCATTTTGAGACATTACACGGAAGATCGGGTTTAATCAGGGAAAGCCTTTATTTTGAAACGGAGCGCAGGAGAAATCGGAAGGAAAAATCAGCTGGAATCCACGGAAGTCCTTGACAGGACTATTCCTTTCCTTAGCTAGCTGTTTATTTGCCTGCCTGTGCTTTTCGCTGTCATCGTTTTACTGTTTTAAACGCCACCCTGGCGATGTCGGAGTCTTACGGTAAGCAGGCTGTGTTGAAGTGGGTCGCTGTTAGCATGTCCATTTAGCTGCAGAGAAGAGAAGCAGGCAGGTGCGCAGAAGGGGATTTTCTTATCGAGAGCTGATAGCTGCCAGGCTAACCAAGCCTCGTACCAAGAAATTAAAGTCTAGTCTCTAAAGCAGGTTGGCAGTCCACAGAGACCATGCAGTCGAGATTTCTATTGCGGAATAAAACGAAGTTATTGGAGTTTATATGTATAATAATGAACAAGGAGCTCCTACTGGACAGATGTTAACATAGTGGCATAAAAGAGGAGACAGACATCCGACTCTTCTTATAAAAAAATGATTTAATGTTGCTTTATTGCTCTTCTTTGCATTTATTATATTCCCAATTGCAGCGAAATAAGTAATTTGTTGGTAAACGAATAGCTGCATCCTATGGGATTTGGTGTAAAACCTATTCTCGACACATCTATGCAAAGGTTTTAGGCAGCAGTGATAAAAATGCTGCCAGAAAAAAAGGCTTTAGGAAGTAAAAATATATGCAGCTTATTTTGAAAACTAACCCTAATAGGACCAGTTTCATACCAGTTTTTGATGTTGATGGCTTCTTAGAGAGAAACCTAGAAATCTAATGTGGATGTGTGATTCCTCAGATCTGCATACAATCCCACACAAATCTGAGGATCAGATGAAAGCTCCAACAAATGTCCAGAAAGCTTCTGTTTCAGGTGCTGCAAATAAACTGTTAGAACAGGAGGATCATCTTATTGTCTTGACAATATAAAGCATCTCCCTCCAAGGCATTAGTCTCTCCTATAATAGATGTTTTCTAATATTCTAAGTTTTTATTGTTTAATTCCTCATATAAAAGGTTACCATCAGCTGCTTTGGTTCATCATCTTATTCATGAATGGTTAAAATAAGGTTTAATGCTGGATGTTTATTTCAAAATTAATTTAAAAACTGGTTTAAAAAAAAAAAAAACTTGAATGTCCTCTTTTAGAGACAGATTTAGTAAAAAAAAAGAAAAAAACTTTTTGAAGTTGCACATAAGATAAATTGTTTTGCAACAGATTAAATACTAGATTTAGTGACATTGTGGTTTGCTCACCTTCTTTCAGATTTCTTAATAAAAGCATTTTCACTTTAAATAATTTTTTAATTCCTCTCTAAAATGTCTGCATAGTACTAAATTTCCAAGAGAGACCTCTCTTCTCCTCACTAATGTTAAGTTGTAGCTGATGATTACATTGCTAATCGATTAGTCAGATAGTGATCTAATTGAAAAAGGTGTAGATTTTTTTTTTGACAGCATTTAAAGCCAGAGGAGTTCTGGATAGAGCATATTTACAGACAAATGTATTTTTTTATATCTTTAAAGCAAAATGTTTGTATATTTTGTAGAGTTTGTGGTCAGTACTGCTCTGAGTGGGTTGTTCTTTCAACGAATTGTGTGTTCTAGAGTCTGTATGCTCCACTAGACTATTGAAATTGTCAATAAATGCATAAATCAGATTACAAGATCATCTTCCTAATGTTTTGTTTTCAAATTATCCTTCCACAGATTTCCTGTTTAAATTCCTGGTGATTGGAAATGCTGGAACAGGCAAGTCCTGCCTGCTGCACCAGTTCATAGAGAAGAGATGTAAGTCAGAAAGTCTAGAAGCAAACGCCTAATCTTTTAATTCACTTCTTTTTCAACATTCTTGTTGTTTTATTTTACCTTCTTTTATTGATCAACTGAGATCATTTGTTGTTGTTTTTTTTTTTTTTTTTTGCAGTTAAGGATGAATCTAATCACACAATCGGTGTAGAATTTGGCTCAAAGATCATCAGTGTGGTCAACAAAACGGTCAAACTGCAAATCTGGGACACTGCAGGTCAAGAACGCTTCAGGTAGGAGAGCTTCCTATTACTGACATGGAGCTTCAGCTAACAGCCGTCATTCGATAAAGCCAAACAAGTATTGACCCTCTGGGCCTTATACACCTTTGCTTATTATTACAACACACCTGTTTTAAAATGATGGGTCCGTTTAGTCCTCTACAAACCACTCTTAAATGATGCCTGTCTCTCCTTGCATTGGTTTTTCGATGTCCAGAAGTAAAAAAAAAAACTAAAAACTGCTCTGTAAGGAGATGTTAAGCAAGATGTGGAGGTAAACTCTGAAGCTTAAACAGCCTTTATCTTTGTGTGTACATGTAACCAAAAGCATTTGTTGCTACAGGAGGATGATCTGACCTGGTTGAGCAAGTTTCTGTCTCCTTTCCTTTCTGTCCTTCAGGTCTGTGACCAGGAGTTACTACAGAGGAGCAGCAGGAGCTCTACTCGTCTACGATATCACCAGGTATCAGAGCAAATGCAGCCCTATTATAAATTAATTTCTATAGCATCTCCTTCTTTCTTTACTTCTTTGCTCGTTGTCCTCCCCCTGTAGCCGAGAAACCTACAACGCTTTGACCACGTGGCTGAGTGATGCCAGGATGCTGGCCAGTCAAAACATCGTCATCATTCTCTGCGGAAACAAGAAGGACCTGGACGCTGACAGAGAGGTCACTTTCCTGGAGGCGTCGCGGTTCGCTCAGGAAAACGGTACCACCTGGCCTAAATAAAGAATTAAACTAGTGTGAACTCTATGTCAACTCTAAAGATGAATGATTGTGTCTTAGAGCTGATGTTCCTGGAGACCAGCGCTCTTACGGGGGAGAACGTTGAAGAGGCGTTCATCCAGTGTGCTCGTAAAATCCTAAACAAGATCGAGTCAGGTAGGAGTTTAGTTTGATTTTATAGCATCGATGTGTAGAACTAGAAGTATAGAGCTGGAAAGTATTAGAATACCAAAAGCCCCCGGCTGAAACAGAGCTGCTGTTTGTTGCAGCAAAAGAGCTAATTTGCCCTCCTTTGGTTCACGATCTCTGGTTTGGTGATATGAAGACGACCTGATTAGTTCTCTGATTGCCTCTGTTGTTTTAGGGGAACTAGATCCAGAGAGGATGGGCTCAGGCATCCAGTATGGCGATGCTGCGTTGCGGCAGCTTCGTTCTCCTCGCCGTGCTCAGCCGCAGGGCACTCAGGAGTGTGGCTGCTAGTGGACTCTGCATTTTACCAAATAAAGGTATAAAGATTATTAGGAGTTTCCAGTTAAATCGATATTAATAGAACAAAGTATTCCTTAAGCTAAACATCCATTTGTATTTTAGTTATTTCAACATGTATTTATTGGACTCGTTTTGATAATTATGTGTATGTTTATGTCTCACCTTTTCATCAACAGCGAGTGGTTAATAAACCTTCCCTGCTTCAAATAAAATGGTCACTTATTTATCTAATGTTTCTGTTTGCAGGTTTATGAAGAGCAAAAAAAAAAAAACAGCCATGGAGGTCCTAACAGCGTTGGGTTGAGGTCGCTGTACTGTGACCCCTCCCATGACCTTTGCACGGACCCTTCAGAGTCTTCATTTTTTATTTCTGCATGTGCAGAAAGCTGAGAAGTCCTTCCGGTTCCCCTCCTGAGAAGGTAACCTCAGATTGGCCTCCTATCCAGCAGTCTGCTGCTTCATTGGACCAAACCCCCCCCAATCATCCCAGACCAGGGTGTTAAACACTCGCATGTGACTCCTGTCTTTGTCTTCACAATGATACCATGTTCCCCTGGATCCAGTCTGACCACCTTTACTCCCAGCCGTCTGTTTTAAATAAACAACATTTGAATAAGTAGTTTGTTAGTGAAATAGGATGGCTTGGATGTAAATGCATTAAAGTATACCAGGATAATTTAATACTAAGTCCTTGCAATGGACAGAAAAACTCTACAACTCCTGTGCTACTGTACTCACCCTGAAGTTTTACGGTTTAAATACTCCATTACATTAACACCTCCATGGATAACCTCCTCCTTTAACACTTCCTTTATTAAATAGGCTGTTTTTCCTCTTTCGCTGTACAGATTTCTTGTATATAGAGACATACGCATGCTTTCCCAGACGGAGCATTTTATCATTAGTAGATATCTCCTCTGTATTAAAGTAGAATCATATCCAGCATCATTTTTATGGTCCACTGTATAACTAAGCTGTAAAACACTGGCTAATTTGCTCTGTGTTCGAAGGATGGGTCTCCATTTTATCTATTTTTAACTGTTGCGTAACACATGATCCCAACAGCTCATGATAACTGACTGATCTCCCACTTATAAGTGTTGCTCGTTTACATGAAAAGCTAACTGACTGTTGCCAGCCTCTGACGGATATTAACCAATCGCATAAAGAGTTTGGATCCTTTCTGCTGTGTGCTCTATTTATGTTCATGTTTTTAAGAGCTTTTTGTCAAACATATCACGTTGCTTTAATCATCATCGCTTTATTCAAGCCATAACAAGCACCAGTACTCGTGCACACTACAGCAACCTTTGCCTCTTTAGTCCGTGGCATCTGGTGGTGGCTCACATCTGGTTGTTGTTGTTGTTGTTGTTTGTGTTTTCTGTCATGTCGTTTAATTTATATGTATTTCTGTTTCGTCATTATAAAATATAGGTTTTTAATTTATGATAAATGGCATTTGTTTTTGAAATAAAACAAACGACAAATACATTACATACAGGTGTTTGTTCATTGTTTTTCTGGTGAAAGGATTTAAGAGACGAAATAACGAGGAGTCCATTGAGACAAACTCTACAGCAGACACAAAAAGGATGCATCTGTTTGAACCCCACTTCTGCATTCTGGAATCTACAGAAAAGGGAAATAAGAAAATCTTTTCAAACTTTATTTGACATCACATGATGAAATATTTCAAACAGTAGATCTCTCTCTAACATTACTGTTGTGTGCTTTTTCCTGGCACAGTTTTTCCTTCCACTAAACTCTATTATTACCAGAGGGTGAACTCTGAATAGACACCTTCTAGAATGTGATGGGTATAAAGAATTGTCTTCTGGACAGCAGTCAAGTCAGCCGTCTTTCTCAAAAGATGCGGGTTATAATATTATATAAGAAAAATGTTTTTTTATTTTCGTTAAGATAGAATTAAACGGTTCTGGTCGTTTGGCATACAGAGCATATGTCTGGTGGTGCGGCCCAAGGCTCTCAAAATGTAATCAGTATATTTTTAATAAATTATTTAATAAAATAATCCATATTAAGTCATTTACCAAATGACAAATCATTTTAACATAATTCCTTAAAAATTTTTTCTTTTTTAGTCTTTACAATCCCAGAATTATCCAATCCAATTTTATTTGTTAAGCACTTAAAAATAACAACAGCTGAAAAAACAAAACATAAAACAGTAAAATAAAATAAAAAAAATTGCTAAAACAGTTAAAAACAGTTTTGTTTGATAAATTTTTTTATCAGAGGACATGAACAGATAACTCAATATTTTTGTAGCCTTTTTACCAAATAGTTTTTTGTTTTTTCATTTTTAAACACTTGAGTTATTTCTTTTGCTAAATATATTTATGAAGTCTCTAAACTCTAGCACATCCCATCTAGGTTTCTGTTTATTACAACCGTTCTGTTCTTTATAGAGTTAGAATGCAAAAAAAAGGTGTTTATTAGTTGGACACACCAGAAAGTCTAGAAACACTTTGACCAAAAGAAAGACGGGGTGTAGTACCCATATTTCAGCCAGCTGACCATCTGTATGCAGTAACATGTTAATGAGGAGCAGTTTTTGCATTACTTTTTGTTCTGTGACTGTCAAACAGATTTTTGTTTCCACCCTGATCAGGTACAGATCCCTCCTAGTGCAAGAACTCACAGAGACTGAGACACTATGACAAAATCCATGTTTGGAGGATCCAGGATGAGGCTTTAAAACCTAAGAGCACGGAGAAAGGAGTATCATTCTATGGGTCTGTGTTCCAGTCAGAGACACTGAAGCATCAACAACCAGTTTCAATCAACAGCTAAACTTTCAAAATGTGATAAAAGTTAGTTCTTCTAATGGGGCAGTGATGTTAAAAATATCAAAGGTGGCTTTGAATTGGATAAAGCAAGCTAATATTACACCACTGGGTCGGCATTATAATGATGCAACATATAGGTACTCATTAGATGTAAGATTTTGTATATATTATATATCAATATTTTGTCAAAAGAGATCTGTTTCTGCCCGTCTTCCATTTATAGTCATTCTGAAGAATCTGCACTTCTGACACTTGTTATTAGTATATATAGTTTCAGTTTCAGCAATCTGTCAGGTGACAGAGTAATGAAGAGGAAGAGAAAGTGCAAAATCTGTGTGATCCCTGAGGTCCATAGTCATGATCACTTGAACATGAAAAAGGTTGGAACAGAGGAATAATCTGGCCTATGAATCTAAAACATATTTTCTTCTCAAAAAATAAGCAGGCAACTAAAAAAACAAAAAATTAACCAAGTGCAGTTTGCTGCTTTGCACAAATAACACATTGCTCCCTAACTTAGATACATCGCTAGTTTTACACATTTAGTTTTCAGAAGTTTCTAATTTAAATATGCAGATGTTTTTTTTTGGAGAAACCTTACCTTCACATCCTGTGGATGTGAAATAGTGTAAAGGAGGTTATGAGATGTGAAAACACGAAGCACTGTACGTTTATGAAGGAGTAATGCTTTCATCAGCAGTGTCACGTATCAAAAGAACAAATACTTTGTTAGAAATTTTGGCTATTTATACTTGAATGCAAGTAATTATTTTTTAGACAACTTTTTACTTCTACTCCTTTCGTTTTAAAAATAGACTCGTTAGTTTTGTTTCATTTAAGCTGCTGATGAAGATTCCTAGTCATCCAGGTCATAGTCATTCCATAAAAGTTTAAAAAACAATCCACTGGACTTGGTTTCCAAGGTTTGAAGACGTTTCGCTTCCTGTCCAGGAAGCTTTCTCAATTCAAATGTGAATTGTGATCATTTGAATTGAAAAGCTTCCTGGACGGGAAGCGAAACGTCTTCTAATTTTTGTTATGAACTGTTGGAGATTGAAAAATAAATAACCATCAAAGTACATTGTTTTATCCAGACAAATAATTTCTTTATGGTTGGTGCACCAACTTGTTGTTCTACACATACCAAAATAAATGGTTTTTTAAGATAATATAAAGTTAAATTTTACATTACTTATAAATCTAAGAAAATAAAGTCTAAGGAAGTTATCATCTAGAGTTGTAGAAAGTGTTGATAATCGTTTAAGTGTTTTTAAACGGTAGAATTTCTACTTCTACTTAAGTAATAAACATTAGTGTTTTTGACACCTCTGGCTTTGATCCAGACTTAAAAACGGGTAGCTTGCATGAAATTATTTTATTTAAAGAAGGTTTAAACCATTTTAGCAATTTAAAGGCTCACAAAGCATTGTAATATAGCAATAATTTAGGTTAAATAGGAAAGTTCTCTTTAGTTATTTTTATTTATTTTTTCTTTGTTCTTACATTCTCAGTTTTGAACCAATCGTGAACAAAGTTTGTGTATTTGTAGTCAAAACTTTGATAAGGTGTGACGTTTTGTGATTGTAACAGTTCTATGATTGTACAAATCTACAATTTCAAAACCTCTATTCTATTAATTTCTACTACTACAAATCCATCGTTTGTACAATGTCAGTGTTGACCTTCACAAAATATGCCTAGTTATGTCACATTTGAATCCTTAAGAAAGAAAGAAAGAAAGAAAGAAAGAAAGAAAGAAAGAAAGAAAGAAAGAAAGAAAGAAAGAAAGAAAGAAACTATGATTGAAAAGTTAAAAAGCAAAGTAAAAAAGTTAATAAGTCTAGTGTTGTGGTCCAGCTTTGATGACACAAAAAAGTGGAAATCCACAAAGGCCACAGATGCACCATGGACTAATTTTACGCATGCAAAAGAAAAATGTTCCAGGTAAACTCCTTTTGTTTTCTAAGTTTATTATCTATCATGCAAACAGAAAAGACAAACATTTCCTCCATGTTTCTCTTGCGCTGGTAAAAAAAAAAAAAAAACATACACCCACCCAGATGCATGCTTGCCCTACCATTGACTGCCTATTTATAAAAAAAAATTCACCTAAATTAATCAAAACTTACCAAAAACAAAGGAACATGACTGAATAACCAAAAAACATAATAACAGATATCAAACAATAAAGTAAAATAAACTTAGCTAGATTCTGCACATAAACAAAAAACTTTGTTAATTATGATCAAAAAATAATCAGTTTACAAATATGTTTAGGTTTATAAACTAAAAAATATGAGTGCCAGCATCAGCATTAATGCCTCTAAGGTTATGTTGTACCAAAAAAAAGTGATTCTTTTACACTCAGAGTATTTTTCATGAATTTCTTATAGAAGCACTTTTGATATTTTTCTTAATATGTTCCGGCAAGTTGGTGTTTGTTGTTATTACATTGATATTAATTTTTGCCATCAAAAAATCTCTATATTTTTAATGTTACAAAGGTAATATGGTCTTGTCTTGGATTCCAATAACACTATTGGCCTGAAATTTGAATTTTCAAAGTATTTCACTGAGTTCCCTATAAAGGGTTAAGTAAACATTGTAGTGGGGGAGCTTTAGCACCTCCTAGTGGCTAGATTAAATATTGCAGATTCACATAAAACGCTCAACTTTTATATATTTTTCATTCTTTAAGATAAAAAGTCATATGATTTAAATATGTGTTTCTGTGCATTAAACCAGAGGAGGTGTAAGGAACTAAATGAGTTTCAGTTCAGGTTTAAAGGGAAAGAGGAGCAGTTTAGACCACAGTTAGTCAGCAGGATCACATGAGCTGCGTTCATGTGACTGATCCACGTGCTCTCAGGGATAAATAGGAGCAGAGCCTCGATCAACAGCAGCCAGGCGAAGGGTGGAAGGTGTTACTGAGAGAAGACACATCCAGAACCCGGACAACAAACGACAGGTTGGTTGTTTTCTCTATTAAAAGCTCTAAGCGAGTTACGCTCTGCTCATAATGTTTGTGTTTGCTCAGTCAGTTACATGAAAAAGAGGCGAACTTATTTAGGCCTCCTTTTTCTAATCTATCTAAAATCTAATTTAAATATCGAGCGTAACAAAAAGCAGGTTGTATCCTCGACAGCAGCTTCGTTTCAGTCTAATTTGCATGATGTTGACTTTTTAACCGCCTTTGTTTGTCAGCCTCTCTGAGGTAAAACATAAAGCAGGAAGCCCGGATTAATTCACACTCATCAGTTTTTAAAAGTAAAAATTAATATGGATTCAATAGTGAAATGTGATACTGGAAAAACCCCGATCACACTTAGAGGAGACTAAAATGGTCCTGAAAGATGACCCTGAAGACATTTAGAAAGGAAATGGAAAGTGAAAGCAGGTTTTATAAGAAGGCCTGTGTGTTACAGAAGAGGATCAAAATACATCAATAAGATCAGTCTCACTCTGGAGTAACATTATTTTATTAAGCACAGATCTGTGAGTTTGAAATGAGAAAAGCCTTCCTTTAATGGACTAGAAAGGCTAAATGCCTTTTGTCCATTATGATTGTCAGTAGGTAAAAAAAAAAAAACATAAGTGGGGTTTTCTGTGTCACTTTGTTTTTCTTTCACCAAGAAAAGAAAATTCTGTAAATCTGAAATTTATTATGGACTCTCTAATCTATAACAATCTCTTCCAAATAAGCTCATGGATAGGTCTGTAAAATCTATCATAATTCAATTGGATTCAGTTTATTTCTCCAATGTACAAACCTTATCTCAAGGCTCTTTGCAGAGACTGTTTAATCAGATCATATCGTCAGATTGGTTCAAAGTTTTCTATCTAAGGAAACCAGCTGATTGTGCTGAGTCATTGCTGGATTCACTCATCCTGGATTCACTTACATCATGTTATTGACTCTTGAGCAACACTGAGCATGCATGTAGCGACAATGAAGAGGAAAAACTCCGTTTAACGGAAAGAAACCTCCAGCAGAACCAGGCTCAGTGTGAGTGCTGAGGGGTTTATTTGCCCTGTTTGACCTGGAAAGTTTTATGCAACAGGTCATTTCTGAGTGACAGATCTAAAGGAGTCTCACCCTGGTCTTTTTGTGCTGACTCATAAAGTTCAAACAACATCATCATCATCAGGCCAGCTTAATGGAAAAGATGCTTCCTCCAACAAACCAATAAGGGTCAAAAATCAGCTTGTGTCAGAATGAAACTTTGGTTGTTTTTTGCGGTTTCCAAGCAGCTTTTAGTCAGCAGTTGTTTTTTTTGACCACACTGTTCTAGGCTTAGAAAGCAACTGACATTTTAGCTGATGTAATGTCGAGAAGTGAGAAGTGCGGATAAGTAGACCTGGTGTCTCACTTCCCCCTCGAAACACTTCATCTAATTTTCAGTTGAATTCATGCTCCAGCAATAGAAGCAAAATCACAGTTTTTACTTGGGATCCCTTATAATTAGTCAAAGAAGAGCAAATAAACTTGTGGACAACATTATACATTTGTTTATTTAATATGCCGAGATTTCTGGTGTTCTTAACGCCAGCTGGAGCTTCTTAACTTCCCAATTTTTATAACAAGCTCTCGTTATTCTCATAAAAGGGGAAACTTTCTACTTCTCCTTTTTTGTGCTTTCATTGGCAGACACCATTGATCATCTGTCATGTGATCGGGAACCTGTTTACCAAGAATTTAGGGGTTTTAGATTTTGCTGTAACAGGAAGAGAGCATGCCTGAACAGGTGTTGTTGTGAGAGAGGGAGCAAAGAGTCCTAAATTAAGGTTTGTTACACCAGTTTATACCATTGTTGAAGAAGTTAAGTCTTAGCTGTGCTGGGTTTTTTTTCTGGACTTGTTATTTATTCATTTTTTTTTTTTTAAATACATTTATATTATATTTGTTTTTTTTAACCTCTTACACCCTCAGGGGGTATGAATAAATTTCTGCCTGACAAAAACACACAAAAGTAAATCACTTATAGCCTCACAGCTATTAGATTTAAGAAGAAACTTTTGGTACGTCTGTAAAGGTAAGATGTCATAGAATGGTTTTCTGGTGTCAGCACCATTGTAGCTTTGACCCTGCCTGAAATATTAGGGACAAAATACAAAATATTTTGCATTTTTTGAACCTCGCCAAAATTTTAAATCTAAATGTTGTGTAAAAATCTACCAAATTTGGACATATTTATTTTAGAATGGTATTAGTGAGAAAGTTCTTAGGCGGAGAGGCCATTTTGGTACATTTATCCAAAAATGTCACCAAACTGTGCCAAATGTGTTTTTTACATCAATACTGGGGGTTTGTTAAAATTACGAGGTCACGTGGCAGCTGGACCCACCGGTGGGTCCGTAGGGTTCTAGGGGTTAAGGACATTACATTCTGCATAATATAAGCAATCGCTACCTGCAGGTGTGCACTGCTAGGTTTGGGCAGTAGGTTTCATTCATGTGCACTGATGCAGTTTGTTAACATTGTAGGAGACTTGACTGAGAACATGAGCTACTTTATCCCTCTACTTGCCGCTCCTTCAACCATGATGATGTTTACTCTGTAAAGTTTCTGCTCACTCAGCAGCTTTAGTAGTGTATCTAAGTGGGGGACATTCAGCACAGCATTGCACTTGGGTAGGAATGTATCTTTCCAAGTTGTAGAGTATGAAGACTTTTTCCTTTTTCCCCTTTGTGTTGTGTAGAATGCGGTTTGCAGTTATTCTGGCACTGGCTGCCAGCTTGTCTGTGAGCCTGGCCAAACCCCGCATCCATGCTCTGTCCAACGATATGGTCAACTACATCAATAAGCTTAATTCAACCTGGAAGGTGAGTATTTAATTCCCTTTTAGCATCTTAATCGTGTAAGATTGACTAATTCCCCCTTTTCCTTTCTATAGGCTGGCCACAACTTCCGTGATGTTGACTATGGTTATGTCAAGAACCTCTGCGGTACTCTGCTTAAGGGACCTAAGCTCCCTGTCATGTACGTCTCACAACATCAAGACCAATTCAGTATATTTTGATGTAGTACAATTGTGCATGATTCATATCTTCTAACACAACTAACTGAAAATGCAGGGAAAGTTACTCAATACAAACTATTTGCAAGCATCTAGGTAGGGTTTATATTACCCTCTCGTTTCCTTTTACTCTTATCCAATTAAATCTTTTTATTTCAGGGATCCACCTTTCTAAATTGACAGTACATGGCCCTGATGCAAAATAAATTTTGTATTAAAACTAACTCTAAACCTCACCTTGAACTTGTCATCTCAATGATAAAAACATAGTGGTAGCAGCATTATACTGTGGAGATTCATTTTGCATCAAAGACAAGGAAATGGTGTTAATTGAAAAATGGTAGCTGAAAGCGTAAAGAGATTGTAACATCCTCCAGGATTAACTCACAACGCAAAAAAAATAGCATTGATAGATTAAAGCGTATTGATGTTTTGATGTTTTATGTTTTCCAAGTCTGATTGGGCTTAAGCCATTTTCTTGTGCACAGCTTGTAGAGATAATTTCTAACTCTTATCTCATTGTTCTATATGTAGATTAAAAAAAAATGAAGAAAAATATTCTTATTTCACTGTTAAGGACTATTTTGTAATGGTGCAACATATTCATACCTCTGATAGATCATCATGGCTCTAGCATAAAAAAAAATCAAGGGCATATGGTGGGATTGGTGTCTTGGGATCGCATTGTGTGGCTAAATTCTTCCAAGACGTTACAGTTTCTGCTCATTAAAAAGCTGCTGAAGTTTCACAGGAGTAAAGCTTGTTTGTCTGTTCAGGGTTCGAAGCTCAGGATACATGAAGCTGCCAAAAGAATTTGATGCCAGAGAGCAATGGCCCAACTGTCCCACTCTGAAGGAGATCAGAGACCAGGGCTCCTGTGGATCCTGCTGGGTGAGATGAACTCACTGCTACACAAGAAATGCTAACTGGATGTCATCACCAGATGTTGGAAGTAAATTAGCCGATTTTATTCTAATGGCATCTAATGCGCTGATTTCAGGCATTTGGTGCAGCAGAGGCCATCTCTGACCGGATCTGCATTCACACCAAAGGCAAAGTCAACAAGGAGATCTCTGCTGAGGATCTGCTCACCTGCTGTGGCAGCTGTGGTATGGGGTAGGTCCCTCAATGTCGGCTTTCCTCTAATTAGAGTTTTTAGTCACTTAAAATGATTCACAATTTAACATTTATGCACAAGTTATTTTAAGTGGTGTAGAGCTTTGTCCGTTACTTCTTTGCACAAGCTTCCATTTATTCAAAGTGAGTTTTTGCTCTACACTTATCTTGGTGCAAGTTGCATAAATGATCTTCTGAAATGTTTTGGCTTTTTAACTCCAACTTGACTTCTGGTGTTTCTAACTGGCCAAAATCAAAATGTTTAATTTATTTTGGTAGATTATTTGCTAGGCTCCATCCAGGACCATTAAAAAACGATGTCCTGAATGTGTGTGATAACAAAGCTGATGGTTATGAGATGAGTTGTAATTGATGTGTTTTTTGTTTTCTTCTGAAGATGTAATGGTGGTTACCCATCAGAGGCTTGGGACTTCTGGACCAAAGAAGGACTGGTGACCGGAGGCCTCTATAACTCTCATATTGGTGAGTTCATTAGTGTCACTGTTTTTTATTAATTAAAGATCAGTTCACAACGTTATCTCAATTTTTCCTAAAAATAATGATTAATTGATAGTTTAGTCAATGTGGTACCAAAATCACAAAGTACATATTCAAGACTTGTGGGGGGGTTTATAAAATGAGGCTAAGATGTTACAAGCAGGTTCTCTGTTTTAACAAGGTGCAGATGGGGTTTATAGATGGTGTTTTGTTTTTCCTTTTTCTTCCTGAATTACTCTTTACTGATATTTGTTTAATAAAATGTGGCCAGATGTTTTTCCTCAATGTTCAAATTTTGGGTGTTCAAACAGTACATGGGTAGAAGCATTCTTGCATGAATGGTCCCCTGGGCTAGACCTTCCTCTTTTTAAGGCTGATTTATACTTCGAAATTAGTTTGTCTGCGTTGGTGTTGCGGTGAACGCAGAGACGTCCCCGCCCCCTCCGCAGACACTCTGCTGCGCCTCTCCCAAGCCTAAGGTGACCGCAGACAGGAGGCCTCTGATTGGTCAAATCTACATCTGTTCTACAGTATGCGTATCTCCTGATTGGTGCTTTACCGGCTTGTTTTGTTTGTATGACTGTGATTGCGGAAAACGACTCGTGAAGTTGGACCAGCTAGAAGAGCGAGGTGCGCGAGAACGCTGGGACCCTTTTTCCACCTGGATCCTCTCTCTTTTTCGCCCTCATTTCCCTCCGTTGTCGCCCAAACTTGCCCCCGTTTCCTTACCACCTCGGCCATATCTAGACCCACAGCTAGTTCGTGATTTTGTTTGTGTGGAATAAACATAACGCAGGTCATGCTTTAATATTGAGCATAAATCAAAAAATGTCTGTCAGACCTGCGACAAGCTCACTGTGACACACTGCTGCAGGAGTATAACCAGCCCAACCAATTAAAATGCAGGAGATCTTCCAAAGTCTGAGGCAAGAGAAATGCAGTGTATTCTTTACTGCAGGCATCCCCAAAGTCGGTCCTCGAGGGCCGCTGTCCTGCAGGTTTTAGGTTTCCCTGCTCCAGCACAGATCATGTAAATTGATGGTTGATTAACAGGCTTTTGCTGAACTGCAAACTTCAGAATCAGCTGTGCTGAAGCAGAGAAACCTCTAAAACTTGCTGGACAGCGGCCCTCGAGGACAGACTTTGGGGATGCCTGACTTGAAGCATCAAAATGCTGTTCCTCTTCTCGGTGACCAGCAGGGGGCACCAAATATCCATACACTGCACATGCTTAAAAGCGAACAAATAAATTAGGATGGTGTGACTCACAGGTGTCAAGTAACGAAGTACAAATACTTTGTTACTGTACTTAAGTACACTTTTTAGGTATCTATACTTTACTCCATTACCTATTTTTCCTCCTACTTTTGACTTCTACTCATTACATTTTCACACAAGTATATTTACTTTCTGTTCATTACATTTTTAAAACAAACGTTACTCGTTACTCTTGGCTTCGGTTTAAAGCACAGGTCACGGATTAGCGGACTGCGATGTTATGAACAACATTAAATCCAAAGATTTTGTCCGAGGTAAAGCTGATTTATTTGTTGTAGTCTCTTGTTATTCACACACAACACTAAACAGCGATTTGCCGACGTGGGTTTTAAAACTGCAAAGCTTTGTCTTCAGCTGAAAATCAAACGTGCATCTACACAGACCAGTGTGATGCATTTGCGAGCGTCAGACAGTTATGGTGCATTCAGGAGCATGGGACATTTCATACTTACAAGGAAAGAGACAAAAACGGAACGTAACTCATACAATAATGTATTTATTCAGAAACGGTGTGGGCTTTCTTATAATACTGAATGCTCTATAATTGTGTTTCTGTTATTTTTTGATTATGCACATCTGCTAGCTTTTTATTCTAAAAAATCTATAATATTACAGCAGCAAATTATCAAAGTTTTTCAAAAGCCAGTTTAGAAGCTCCAAATGAGGCTTCAGATCGTACAGCGACAATTGCGCTGTCATTGTTTTACAGGCAGAATTTGCATTTGCTGAATCTTGTCTTTTAACTAGTGATTGATATACAGGAATACAGTCATACAAGTGTCAACTCCTCTCAGATAGAACAGGATGCAATATTTGGCAATTTCTATTTTTATTTTTTCATCTTATTTTTTTTTAATTCAGTGCAACATGAATGCATAAATACGTCATTTTATTTGAGTGTTAAATTTTGTTTAAAGTAACAGATCATTAAAAATGTCTCCTGACATTTACTGGTTGATTTTTCTTTATTCGGACCCCACTGATTTTTTATTAGTTACCCCTGGTTTAATGTTTATAAATATATATTTCACGTCATGTGCGCCATCCAATGCAGATCATTGGTTCCATCCACACCTAGTGAAAACTAGTGTAATTGGATGAGTCGTATAACGCAAACACTAATTGGTTAGCTAAAGGAAATCATCACAAGCAAGCAGGTGTTCTTCAAACTGTAAACATGAATTGTCTATGCCATGCTACAATGTTGGAATTTGAAAAACATGTCTAAATGTCTGAAAGGTCGGACACAGGTGAGAGCGTATCGGGAGATGGAGATGGAGACCAACAAGACCTCCCTCATCCTTGGCCCTATCTCAAAGAATTTTTTGAAATAGACGAAAAATTGAGCTTTTAATTCATATAGTGGCATCTGGCCTTTTTCTTAAAGGTTACTTTATACTTTAAGTAGTTTCTGGAGCACATACTTTTTCACTTTTACTTGAGTAATGATGTCAAGTTGATACTTCAACTTTTACCAGAGTGTTTTTAAACTGCAGTATCTATACTTCTACTTAAGTAACAAATGTGTGTACTTTTGACACCACTGGTGTGACTCCTGTGTACCCTCTTCAGATGCTCCCCTGGGTGACTGTCCATATGGCCTATGTTAAACAGTCATGTTACACAGTTCTAATGCTTTACTTTTTGTGTGGGGGGATTTGTAGGTTGCCGTCCCTACACTATCGAACCCTGTGAGCATCATGTGAATGGCAGCAGACCTCCCTGCACCGGGGAGGGCGGGGATACGCCTAAATGTATCTCAGAGTGCGAAGCTGGATACACACCAAGCTATAAAGAGGACAAACACTATGGTAAGTATCCATCAGTTTAAGATTAGCATAATGGCTACTCTACCCTTGCTTCTGGTTGTTTTGCTGATAAAAATGAAACCTTTGATTGGAGGACTTGATTTTGTTCTTTCTGCAAAAATGATAGATGATATTTGAAAGTTTATTTTATTGCGTTTTAAGAAGAACTTCTTTTAAATTTGTATTTACGGATCTGTATTGGTCATATCCCTTCTTTATGTGAATCGATGCATACAGGATTTTAACTCAATGTTTGTTGCAGGTCAAACTGCTTATGGTGTGCCAGCACTGGAGGATGAGATCAAATCTGAGATTTACAAAAACGGACCAGTAGAGGGAGCCTTTTTAGTCTATGAAGACTTTCCTTCCTACAAGTCTGGTAAAAAAATAAAAAAAATCAGACCACATTATAAAAATTCTCCCAAAAATCTGTCGGCACACCTTGTAGAGGATAAATTATCTCTTTTCTCCACTCCTCAGGTGTGTATCAGCATGTGTCAGGCTCTGAGTTAGGCGGACACGCCATAAAGATCCTTGGTTGGGGAGAGGAGAACGGTGTACCTTACTGGCTCTGTGCAAACTCCTGGAACACAGACTGGGGTGATAATGGTGAGCAAAAAATTCTATATTTGTGCATCCAAGTGAAACACAAAAGTAAGTCTGCAACAAGTAGGTCTGGAGTCCTGTTTATATGTTGATCTGGTATACTTATCGTTATTTCTATTGTCTAAAAATACGTTTGAAATACAAATTCTGGTGTAGATTATTTTTCAAAATGCAACAATACACCTTTTATATCACCTTTTTAAAAATGACATGCACTTAAGGTAAATTATAAAAAAAAATCTTGGATTAAAATGTTTGCAGGCATTCCAACCATGCTATTTTTCTTTTAGTCTGAGCATTGAATCCACAAAACTGATTTCTATCCCTTGGATTTCAGGGTTCTTTAAAATCCTCCGTGGATCGGATCACTGCGGTATTGAGTCTGAGATTGTGGCTGGAATCCCTAAAGAAAGGCAAAGGTAAGATTAGTACTGTTAGGTTGCTGACTATAAGTTGTTTTAAATATGAGATTAAGACATTTTAAAAATGTTTGTTTGCAGGTTTTAAGCTGCTTCGCCACCAGAGGGCGACAATCTCCTCTCAACAAGAAGTGAACAGAAATTGCAGCTTAATAGTTGACATCTGAAGGAGGGGAAATTCAAGCACCTTCAGTTTTTAAGTGAATTATCAGACGGAAGAAAGACGCCCTCTTCCTACACACCATTTACTCCTGTTTGATGCCACTTGTAGACAAAGATGTTTACAGGTCTGTTTTAGGACGCTCCCATTTTATTTTTTTAATTGTTTTGAGAAAATGTTGCATTAGAAAGTGGAATGGGTTTGATGCTGTCACAGCTTTTGTTTTTCTACTGCTTGAAATGAACTGTTTAAAATCACCCTAATGAGCTGAGGTACTGTATAATTCATGTGATCATGCAGTAATTCCTTGTTGCTTTTGAATGACCAACTATACTCCACTACTAAATATCAGAATGTACTGTGTGTAACGGCTGGAATTGTTTTTAAGCCTTTTTCTATGTAGCTTGAAATGAGATGGATTTTGTTTTTACTGCCAATTATGATCAAATGTTAACCAAAATAAAATAAATCTTTGTTTGGCAATGTGGTGGTTCTCAGTTTTTGGGTTAATGTACAAAAGCTTCACATTAAAACAGGAATTTGAAAGTAGTACAGGGGGTTCATAAATTTGGTTTAAAGATTTTAAACTTAAAAGTCAATGACTCCTTAAAAATACAAAGCTGGATATCAAGTCAGTCTAGTTAAAAGGTGTCGTCCCTGCATATCTGTTATAGCCTGTTCACATTCAGTAAGTTAAACAGTGGATCATTTCATTTAAGCTTTACATTGTTTTCTATGGGATCTTATACAACTATTTGTTTCTAAATTAATTGTCAGGAGATGTATATAGAGAATATATTGACCCTTAGTTTTTTTTCCTTATCACAACAAATGCTTTATTTCATCAAACATTTTAATAGAAAACCAGAATTTATTGAACAGCAATATGATTTAGGAAAGAAAGGAAGATGGGATATTTTCTTTTGTGTTGCCTTTTATTCTGCACATGTCAAATCATTCAGTTTGGAAAGCAAAGCAAGATTATACGGTAGAAGTTTGTTTTCAAAGTGCTGTACATGATAGGAAACGGGGAAAAGACATTGCAAGAAAATAGGATACAATGAAAGTTAGACCACAAACTTAAATTGTAGATCAGTGACGCAGTTAAAAGCCACTATGAATTTAAAGCAGGTTTTCAGCATGTTTACAATTTTCTGAGAATCTGTTCCAAAGAAAATGATCTGCTTCTCCATGTTTGGATCTGGGTATGCAGAGTAGGCTTGAGCCTGAAGACCTGAGACGTCTAGGTTGGTTGATACACTGATAAGTCTGTAATGTATTTTGGAGCTAAACCATCGCATGATTTATAGACAAACAGAATGTTCTAATTATATTCTCTGAGTATCAGGGAAGCAGTGGAAGGAGTTTAAAAACCGGAGATGTGCTCCACTTTCTTAGTTCTAGTGAAGAAGGCTCATCAGCATTCTGGATCAACTCCAGCTGTCTCTGATTGACCCTTTTGTGTTCTTTTTATTTTGTTTCGGCAGACCTGTGAAGACCGCATATCAGTAATCAATTCTACCAAAAGCAAAACCATGAATCATGTTTTTTCAAGGACCTGCTGACACATTAGTCCTTTAATCCTGAAGATGTTCTTTAGAAGATAGGAGGCAGACTCTTTATGCCTCTGAAGGTTCAGGTAGCTGTATGCTATTTTTTAAACACTCTACCTTTGGTTTAAATAGTATATTTTAGTTTTGATTCTGATTAGGAAAATTGTGGCACATCCATGGATTAATTACTTCTATTCATCTCCCCAACGCTCTGATGGGTTTATTGCGACTTGGTGACATCGTAATGTACAGCTGTGTGTTGTCAGAATAGATTTTATGTTAAGATCTGAGCTACAGGATGCATGTAGATATTGATTAAAAAGGGGCCCCAAGATGGACCCTTGGGTAATACCACAGATGATTTTTGTGGTCTCTGATGTAAAGTTATCTACTGACACAGAAAGGATTTAAGCTAGTTGAGTGCTGTACTTGAAAGGCCGACACAGTTTTCCAGGCTGTCTAAAGTAATAGTGATTAACGGTGTCAATTGGTGCACCGTTAAGGGCAGCGCCATGGTTTCTCCACAGTGTGCAGTAGTTTTGGAGCTAGTGATTAATAATGGTGACCTTTATGAAGGTCTATATTATGTTTCCACATGAACTAGGTGTGCATAAAATCAGTTTTTCGAAATTGAAGAAATCCATACATTTAAAGTCCATTTGCTGAGGGGTACATAAGGATCTTGTCTTAAGACATATTTTTATGGTCATATTTCAAGTTAAACTATATATGTTTATTTGTATTTTAACTTGTTTTTAAATGTAGGCTATTAAGCAGCCAAGTTAAATTGATATCTAGTAATGGTTCTCTATTTTTGTAAATTGCGATTTTAGTTTAATTTTTCAATTCTGATTTTGGAATTGGGCTGCACAGTGTAGCAGTGGGTAGCACTGATGCCTTGCAGCAAGAAGGTTCTAGGTTCAATTCCCGGCCTGGGGTCTTTCTGCATGGAGTTTGCATGTTCTCCCTGGGCATGCATGGGTTCTCTCCGGGTACTCCGGCTTCCTCCCATAGTCCAACAACATAACTGTTAGGTTAATTGGCTTCTCTAAATTCTCCTTAGGTGTGAGTGAATGGTTGTTTCTCTCTGTGTCGCCCTGTGATGGACCGATGACCTATCCAGGGTCACCATTGGCCGCTGGAGATAGGTGTAGCATCCCTCGCGACCCCTGTAGGGATAAATGTGATGGAAAAAGGATAGATGGATTTTGGACTTATGAATTTATTTTTGCCATATTGCAATCATACTTTAAATCACATATTTAATAATTTAACAGCACATTTAATTAGTAATTGACATTTATTGTTTATATCCACATCTCTTTTCTTAAAAAAAAACTTGTCTAACATGGGAGGTTTTAGATATGGGCCAACAGATTTTTTTTATTATATGCTCTGGCACAGAAACTGTGTTTTAATTATATGCCATCATGACAAAAAAAAAAAACAAAAAAACATTGGCCCTACATTGGCGTCCCTGGTATATTTGATCTAAAACTGCCACTGTTGTCTAAATAGCTGAAAATGTATTCAGTTATGACACTTTTTACCTTTTGCGTCCTTGTCCAAAATAAACTGCCCAGTGAAAATAAAGGTAGCTCGTTTATTACTCCGTAAACTGACAGTTTTCTTTTTATGAGGGCGGTGCCAAGCAAATAAAACGAAAAAAATATGCATGGCAAATTACAAAGCAAAGCTTGAAATTAAAGCACTGATAAAGTTAATAAAACAATTTAGACTTTTTGATACTTTTATATTTTCATAATCATCGGAAAGCTTTTCAGGTCTCCGCCTAGCTCGACTTCAGCCGGCACACCCGTAGATATTAAACAAACCCACATGATCAGCTTGCACTTCCAGAGGGCGGGGTTTGTTTGTTCAATCAGCCAGCCAGAGTTGCCGAAGGCAACAGGAGCGAGCGATGATGGAGGGGGGAAGTAGGCTTCCGTGGATGAAATATGGCTCTCTTCTGTCCCTTTTGGTGGTTTTGTTAGCCGTCTGGCTCCGTTCACCGCAGAACACAGTCCTGGATGACCGACTGGACACCGTGCTGTCGTCTTTGCTCCGGGCTGAGCGGAAAGTTGGGGTGAACAACGCCAGACCCAGAGTGGCAGTTGGTAGGCGCGAGGGGAGCTAGCTGACACTAGCTAGACTCATGACTGTGGGGATTTCAGTATGAGACTGATGACTAATAAATAAATACATTTAATCTTTCTAAACATGTAAAATACCCACCATGAGGTCAGATGATGTAGATTTCCTACATTAATTAAGCTTATCGTCACTGTCAAACAGAAAACTGAGTTAAAGTTCTATTCAACATGTTATATTTCTGACATGGCAAATGTTTACTCTGGCTATGGCATTCTATGTGATATTTATCTAGTATATAATATAAATCTTGGCTAAAATATAATTATAGCAGTCTCAGTTTGTAAAGCTTTTGCCAATAAAATACAGAGCAGGGAGCTGGATGATGAAGACTAACAGTTGTATGAAAAGTATCCTTCCCCTTTTATATTCTAACTTTATATATCTTATTTAGACTCCATCTGATCTTCCTAGGCCAAGTCATTTTTTACTGTTTACTTGGAGGCAACATTAGATGGTATACAATTTGTTTTAAAAATGAAATTATGACATGCACTTGGATTAAACCACCATATACCAATGTCTGCAGAAGCACCTCCTGCTTTAGAACAGAAAGTGTTTTTCATTGCGTATATAAACTGATTCTTTAGTGTCCTCCTCCAGACCAGATCTGTTGTAGGTTTCAGATCATAAGTCCATCCATATTGACAGGCAAATGGTAAATTACTTAAATTCATAAAGCACTTTCTTATAGCCATACTAACCATTAAAAGTGACTGACATTAGATCCATGTTCACCCAATTGCATCCCCAAACATGAACATGTTTATATAAAAGCAATATGTAGATCAGTAGGCAGCTGGGAGGTTATTGCCTTGCCCAGAGACACCAATGTTTTAGACCTGCCTTGCTGCTTTCTGTGTCGTAGAAACCTTTCTTTTTCTTGTTCTTCTCAGGTCAATGCAATTTCTTTCTCTTCTCTGAATGTAGTTGTATATCTGCTGCAAGGGGATTTTAGTTTAATCATATTTCTTCTTTTCTCTCCTCCTTCCTAAGGTTTTGGAGGTTGTGTCGACCTCATAGTAGATGGTGTGTCATTCCTAAATAAGATTGGCGTCTCTCATACGGACCAGCCATTACATCACGACTATCTAGAAAATGCTGAACAACTCGCTCAGAGCTTTGCCTACTTCTTTGCACCAGGAGCTGCTGCAGAGTGAGTAATATGAGATTGGGAGCTGCCTGTTTACAGTGAAAGTTATGAGCATTTTACATTGTTAAGAAGACAAGGCTTATAAGACTGAAAGTCAGTGAAGGTGCAGTCCTTTGATAAAGATAAAACAGCATGTAAAAGATGCTTTTAAGTCTTAATGATGTAAGGTCTACAGATCGAACAATGAAAATTTTTCAGTTTAACCGATCTCTGCTATGTGCTACAAATTTTTCTTTTAGGACAATTTCTGAAGCTGAAAAGGCTTTTTTCCCTCTGTTTACATTATCAACCGACACAATGATAAAAAATGAAATAAAACATCAACAATCTGTGTTTTGCATGAACGTGTTTAATGAACGGTGTTCACTGAATCCGTTCAAAGTGAACAGTGACCTGAACGTATCAGTTTTTTAAGTAAGGAATCGTGAACATGACGTTCACTCTGATAATGAGCTCACTTTCACGTTCAATTCATAATACTTTTCATTGAGTAATGTCAGGTTTTATTGTACATCTTACATTAAACATCATGTCTCCTGCTTGTACTATTCTGCGTGATTCTGACTCCTCTGCTGGTCTTTCTGATGCCAGTTTTAGCAGAGAGCTTGGCAAAGTTTTATGAACTAACAAAGGATTTTGTGCAAACTGTACCCATCTGGATTTCTAAGACAAGTCTGTACGTCAGCCATGTCAACATAAAATTTAAAGCAACACATCAAGTTAAAGCACTCGAGCTATCTTAGGAAATATCTGCTACTGAATGAGGAACATAAGAAGTGATTTTTAATTCATATCTTTTCAGCAGAACCTGCACTCGCATAATATTGTCAACAACTGAATGCAAATGGAAGGCTTCACCTTATCTCAAGGCATGACTCCTTATCCCACTAATAAATAGGGCGGATAGATGCATGGAGCAGTCAATGCTGATACAAGAGAAAAATGCTCATATCGGCCCAGAATATTGACTGGTCAAGGTACGGCTCTACTTCTAGTAATGTCTTTGTATTTTGTTTTCTTTCCTCTGCAGACGTTTTATGATTAATGAGACCCTCTTTAGTGAGATGGTCGAGAATGCCCGCGACTTACCTGGAAACAGATGGGCAGTAGGTGGCAACGCTCCTGTGATGGCTAGTCGCATGGCAACAGAAGGATGTGATGTGTTGTTAGGAGGAAGTTTCAGCACAGATTTTACTGAAGTTCTATCCCAGCAAATTACAGGTACATAGGCCTATAAAAACCTAGCTTGAAAATGACCTATTACTCTTTTCTAAGTTTTAATCTACTCGTTTGTTTTTCTTCCCAGTGGCTGGTAAAGTGATAGAAGAACCAGATATCCATCTGATCCTGGAATATTCATCTGGTGCCAGCTGGGACACCTATACCTCACGTAGAGCCAACAGGTATTTTGTCTGAAAACATTTTTTGAGGTGCTGAAAGATTAATCTGATTAAACGTTTATTGAAATAATGGTCAGCTAATTGGGTAAGTTTATAGTTACCTAGATCAGTGGTACACAGACTCTGAAACATGCAATTGGCTCAAAAAATAACATACTTACAGCAGTAATTAAGACAAAACACAAAAAAAATAAACATTTTCTATGAAAGGTTAAAAAATTAATTTTTTATATTTTGAAATCATCATGGGCCGGGCTGGTCTTGGCTGTGATTAACAGCAGCTTATTGGCACTTACAGCAACACAAACCTGGTGAGCAGAGCATGTGTGACACAGCGTCCGATATAATCTAAATTTAACAGAACACAATTTTCAAATCGCCTCCGTTTTTTGATCACACTATTTAACAAGAATAGGACACTAAATTTCGGCACACAGAAAGGTAGAGAGAGTTGCAGCTAGCACACGGATCCATGCATGATAGCAGAAGTAAACACTTTTTCACTCCAAGATGAAAGTCCTGCAACATTGGACTCTGGGCATGCAAGCTTTCAAAAACTGAAAGCCTAACCTGAAACATCTACAAGCTTGAATGAAGCTTATTGCAAAGGAAAAAAATAAAATAAATAAAAAATAGGAATTTTGGTTTTAAATGAGCATTTAAAGAGCATTAAATAAGAGATACTCATTCCTGTATAAACCCTGTATTGACTGTAATATATCCCTGGAGTCATAGATATAAAACCCAAAAATTAAAAACTTGAAGAGAGAACCAAGCTGGCAGAAGGTGCAGTCAGTGAGCGCATGGTACCTGGTTCACCATGATGTAGAACATACAGTGAAATGTAAAGCTCTCCATAAGGGATTAAAAGGAAACATCAGTAACACTGATTTACTCCACCGTAATATTTTTGTATTTTCATTAGCATAGCATATTGTAAAGTTAATACCTAAATAACGCTAACACTGACCTTGATCTTTTTTTGTGCTTCCCAGATATATAATTCACAGTGATGCCCATAACCCCTACTTGGACTCCTTGGAGGATTTTGCAGAGAAACTTAAGGATTTTAAACCTGATTTGTTGGTAGTGGGAGGGCTTCAAATGATGGACAACTTCCCCTTTCATTCAGGTAGGAAAACATGTCTTTATTTGTTCTTCATGTGGGGATTTCACTTCACTATGCTGACCAGTGTAATAGAATGGAAAGTATCTTTATTGTCTCTTCATTGGGAATTCACTTTTCCCAAATGCAAGTGAACAGCAAATGGAATCATATTCAGAAGAACAGAAGGGCAGAAAATATGAAAAAACAAAAAGGGGAAACAAAGGCAAACAATGCAGTCTCTTTAGTGCGCATTAATTGCTAATGTCACGGAAGCATGTGAAGAGTAAAGAATAATGAGGGCAACCCTGATTTATTAGCTTACATCCTTGTATCGATCTTGGTTCGTTTTTTTATGACAGGTTAAAATTAGTATGATCACTAGGGAAAAGTTTGTAATGACACTTTAAACGATGGAAAACAAAACGGGAAGAACAGGTTATACCGTACCTTTCTCTGTAAACAAGACCAGTTTCACAGTGAAATAGACCCACATTCAGTTCGACCTTTTGACTGCATTTGTTTTTTAAGGTTCTTTATCACTTCAGGAAAGTTCACATTCCATGATTTTTTTTTTTTTTTTGCCTCCCTTACTCCTTTTTGTCTGAAGTGCTTTTCAGTCTTACACATGTTTTTCTTTTATTTTTTCCTTTATTCAAGGCGAGCGACAGGAAGTCCTCTCCCGGCTGGCACACCTGCTGACCACCTCATCTCCTCAAATTGGCATCCATTTCGAGATGGCAAGTTTTGTGGATGAGGATATAGTAGACGACCTTCTTCATTACGTCATTCCCCATGTATGTATGACTGAGCATTTAAATCAATTATAGATTAAAGATTTTTTTTGGTTTGGTGAAAGTGCAGAGTTGGCATTTAAGCAATTTACATAACATTTGCTTATCCAAGAATGTAAATTAGATAGGCCAGTGTGTAGAAAACACAGAAGGGAGGAGGACATTGGATTTGTTTAAGTAAAATCAGGGATTCAAATCTGTAAACCAAGCAGTCTGATTGGGATGAGGATTTTTCTCTACCTGTGTATGAGGGGGAATTTTTTTTTATGTACCTTTGCAAAACACAACAATTTAATGTCATTTTTTCCCCCCCAACTTTATCTACAAAATGTATTCTTTTTAATACCATTCTCTTCAATAGCTCTAAATGACAGCTAAATTATTTTTGCCCTGGATAAAATAAAAAATATACATGTGAAAACTAATAATTATAGCAAAACAAATAAATGATGACTCCCCAAAAATAGCTGACTCTACATCGCTGAAGAAAATCCTCAAGCTTATGAGACAGAAGTATCAAACATAAAGAAAAGTTTTGCTGCTGATCTCCTATTCAAGACATATTAAAGCATATATAATGCTTGGGTTTATATTACATAAAACAAGGTGTTTCAGCTTAATCTAACAGGGAAAAAACTCTGATTTGAATTATATGTTACACTGTTGAATTTCTGGAGGCTGTTTAAAATGTTGACTCTTGTCTGTTAAATATATATATAAACCTATGTTGTTTATATATTATATATAACTGTGAATTCTCATTTATCTGCCAAGCTCTGTAACACTAACAGTCTCTCCAATGTTCTCAGGCTCTTTATGTAAATAATGGATGCCCTATAATGGCAGAAATGCAGTTAGTATGGTTAGCATTGCTATCAGCACTCTTTGTATACCCCTGCTGCAGAATGGAGACTCAAACAATGACTTAAATTTTGAAAAATTAATTCTACATTTCATGTATCCTTATTTTCCCATGTTTTATAGTTTTATAGTCATTAGTTCAGATTCAATAATCTGCTGAAACATACATTTCTTCTTCAGTGTCTTTAAAGTAGCTGCCTTAAAAATCAGGCATACCTCTGAGGGGAAAAAATACTTTCCTAACATCTTTTAAACTTCTAGTGTCTTTATTTTATAGACTGGAAGTAGCTATTTGTTTTCCCTCAGTAGCCACTACCACATGCTAAAGTAGTGGTTGAAACTTATTCCACTATGCATGTGTTAGAAGTGTAGAAAAAGCAGTATTATAAAGTTGAGCAAGCAAGATGGATAATTTGGTTGTTTATACCTAAGGTCGGTATGACAAGGAGAATCAGGTCAAAACTGAAACTATGCTGCTCTTCAAAAAAACAACCTCTAAATGTTGTAGTTAAGGAAACATTCAGAGAGAGATCAGTCATGCCTTAATGATTAGATATTTTAAAACAGAAATACCTGAACCAGTATATAGATATGTGTTTCTGCTTTTAGTTTTTCTTTATCTGCATTTAAACAATTTATGGGTGTATAGAGGGTTTTTTCCTTGTCATAATGCATTGGCCTTGTTAGCATATGTACTTTTTTCTAATGGGAATTTTCTCATCATCCCAGCTTTTTATTACACAAAATGCTATTTTATTGGGTTTGCTATGGTTGCACAGTGGTTAGCGCACATGACCCATTGACAGAGGCCTTAGTTCTCCACGTTGCCGACCCGGGTTCGAATCCGACCTGTGGTCCTCTGCCGCATGTCTGTCGCTCTCTCGTATCCCCTTTCCTGTCAGCCTGTTTAAGAAAACAACCCACTCGTGCCATTAAAAAACAAGCTATTTTATTTTGGCTGCAGCAACAAAAAAATATATATATTTGTATGGTTAATGATGTTAAAACAATGGACCCAACATTGCAACCCTTTTTTCTTATTGGGTTGTTTTCTCTCAGCTTTTGATGTCCTCCTTTTAGTTCCCTGCCCTTTGAGCATTGATCCCAATTCTTCTTTTTCCAGGCGGACTCTTTAGGTATGAATGAACAAGAGCTCCCAAACCTTCTCAGTTTACTCAAAGGTTCCAACATAACTGTGCTGTCAGACCCAAACCCTCGTGTAGCTACTGTCCTCGATCAGATGAGGGAGGTATATCGCATCCTGAACCAGCGCTACAAGGACGCTAACTCCGATAGAAAGACCGACAGTGGGGAATGGAAGGGTAAGCCACTGACCCGTCTTCATGTCCACACTCTGGCCTTTCAGGCCATGATAGTGACCCACGGCTCCCAGTGGAAGAACACCATGTCTGCTACTGCTAAGGCCTCGCTCACAGCTAACCGTCACGTCTGCGGGTCAAATGACATTGATCTCAGGAAAGCTAGGCTCATCATGGACGACTCATTCTCCGTTAGCCACCGTGAGGGCAGCCAGCGAATCCTTCTGCAGGAGAGTCGGCCAGTCAGCTGCTGGGATGAGGATGATTACCAGATCTGTGTGGCGCCAGTGCTGGTGTGCACTGAAGTCTATCAAACTGCAGGTGGAGGGGACAACGTCTCTGCTGCTGGCTTGGTGCTACAGATTTAAACAGGGACACTGAAAGCTCCTTTTGACTCTGGAAACTTGGTATAAGTGTAATGCACCCTATCCTTCAGGTACTGACATGGCAGCAGGGCTAAAGCTATTAAATCTGCACCTCTCAGCCTAAATGATAAGACAAACTCATTTTATTACTGAAGAGTCAGATCATGGATATTTTTATAGTTTACTGAGTTCTAGTTTTTAAAGGGGATGGAAAACCAAAAAGAAAAAAATGTTTAAGTGCGTTTTTCCTTTACATTCTAACCAGACTTTTAGTCAACTGTGAAAACGTAATATCTTTTCCCTTTGTTTCAGGGGAGTCCCAGTGACTCATTCTATCCTGCATCAATATTTACAAGTTATGCTTTATTTTTGTAGGAATTTATTGCTTCTGTTCTGTTTTGTAGCTATATAACGGAAAAAGAAAACACTTTAATTTTCTTGAAACTGATAAATCTGTTCAACCATTTGACTCTTGGGATTAGAATGGCTTGGTCTTGGATTTTTCTTTTTTCTATTAAGAAAATGAGACTTCTGGCCTGGATTAGATCCAGATAAAATCAGGTTATAGGTCTCTTTTTTTTTTTTGCACCATTTAGCAGTTCTCATAATTTTTTTTTAAACGAAAATTTGCACAACCATCTTTTGTAGGTTCAGTTATATTTACATTTCAGCCTGGAGCGCAGCTATGCAGTTAAAATGTGATGAAAGACTCAGAAATTATTATATGTTCTGTTTCTTGAGAGGATTTGAATTACAAATGCCTCACTTACCTCCTAGCAAATAATTTATTCTGTAGATGTTGCAATTTCTGAGGTAAAGCCTACCAGATTCCAATTCTGCTTCTTTCCTCTGATTTCTCTCTCTGTAAGGTAAAGTCTTACTAAAACGTTGCTGTTTCTCCCAGCAGATGTGAATATTGTGCCTCGCTGTTTTGATAGGTTTGTGTATGTACTGCAATTATTTCTGTCGTTCACTTGCAGTGAAATAATACAAAAATATTGTGGAGGGACTGCTTTTGTTTGTTGGCTATAATCTCCTCTGTATCTCTGTAAGTTTACCCTTCCATCCCCTTGTTTTTGGCTCTGCTAGGACCAAATGACCCATGTGGTTTGCACTAAACAATCTGCATGTGTCGTTATGATTATGGATGAATTGGAACAATGTCTCATCTTTAATTTTTTGTTAAAAAGGTAATTGTGATCTATACTTGAAACCAGTGCTGCACAGTATAAATGCCATTTGTACCTTGTAGCCGTGGACCATTCATAAATTCTATATTGCTTTGAAAGTCCTCATCTCCATTAAAGCAGGTTATAGCGTGCGTAACCAAGCTTTTATCATGAATATCTAAATGAATCAGCAATGGTCTTTTCAATCTATGCTTCCTTTTATGTTTCCTGTGTTTTTGATTACTAATGCCACTGAACCTTGAAAGAAATGAAGCCAGCTCTATCTTCTCATTAGGTACAAGTCAAACATTCCAGCTGCTGCTCTCTTCTTAAAAAAAAAAGAAATATGTTTTAACCTTATTTCTTTACATATAAAACAAATGAGCTATTTTCCTTGGTAAAGTTTTCTATAGAACAGAATGTTTTTTGTTACATGTATGGAGTCAGAAATTATACAAATAAAAGTTAGGTATTCAATTGGTGTAAATTCCCTTAAATATATATTTGTTTTTCCAGATCTCCAAATGAGCTCAGAGTAAATGATCTGTACTTTTTTTTTTTTTTTTTTTTTTTTTTTTTTTTTTTTTTCCTACTGTTTTGTAAAGATTGGATGTTTTTCATTGAGCTTGCTTTTGTTTAATTCTGTCTGTCTGGAGTTTTTTGCCCTATAAATTTCTCTTAAACTGTGATTGGCTGTACTTTCCTGTGGATTGAAACACTGCAGCATGGAACCATGCTCACTGAGGGAACTGTGTCTTTTTTTGGTACTTATCTAAGCTTTAGATAAGTTGTATTTTGTCTTCTGCAGCTATGTCACTGTTCATGCATGTTGAGTCATTGCAGAATCATCTGAGATAAAATAATATCTGATCAGCAACCATTGCTTCATTATCATTTTTATTTCTGTTTATTTGCATATCAGACTACATAATTGTGAAATCAAAGTTTAATTCTGGGTATAACCCTGAACTCTAGTTGTTCAAAGGCTTCTTGATCATAGCATAAAGCAGCACATGGAAAATTGCTTTCATCTTATCCTTATTTTAACAGAGACAGCTGGAATGCTGCACCACCGTACATAATCTGAATCATTTCTTGACCATAGTCTAGCATGAAACATTGCTGTAAAAATGCCTGTTTCACTGTACTTACACACACACACACAAAAGAAACAATATATATCAAGATCTAATTGCTTAAAATCAAAAAATGGCATCACTGCTAATGAAAATGATACAAATTTGATTTCTAAGACTAAATAAACTCATTTCAAATTTAGTATACTGTATGCCTTCTAGCGGTTCCCCTTAAGCAAACACATTTTGCTGACAGGTTTTGACATTTTGAGTTCATTTAGGCATTAATAAACTGTTCCATAGGAGTGATCATAGTGATCTGCATCAGCAGTGCTGGATCTGTCTCCCTGCCAGCTCCCAGATCAGCTTCTCTGATTAACTGATGTGGTGCGTCGAGCAGCAAAGGTTACGTTTTTCCAAGTCCAGTAACTGCCACTTGTGAAGCATATACGCGCCTCAGATGCTCAGAAGCTGCTGCTTCTCAGATGCGTCGAGATGCGTGTCAACCATCGACTTTGCATGGAAACCAGCTGCTGCTGCTGCTTCAATCGCGTGCGGTCTGAACGTAGCATTAAGATGCTTGAGACAATTTAAAACATTAAACTTTTATTTGTTTAGCATTTCCTTTATACAGTATATGTTTTAAGTAGAGTGTGAGGAAACATTTTCACTTTAATACAAGCTCACATAACAATGAACTACTCAGGTTTCAAGAAGCCTTGCTATTTTTAAACCCAAACTGCCGACTCTACATTTGCTAAAATACTTCTCCTATTGCGTGAGGTCAGAAGTGAGTTTATTAATTAATTTGGGGTAATATATAAGGTTATCCTCTCGATCAGTGTGTGCAAGCATTTCTTCTATCTCTTGTTGAGTGAAAGGTTCACCTGGTTAAAAATTACACATAAAAGCTGATCAATAAAGAGTACTAAAAAAACATACTGATGTTAATTTTTTTTTTTCACTTAAAAAAAAAACCTTTACCTTCTTCCATCAAAAGCTTTTTCAACTCTTCAGGTTTAAGGTAGCCTTTCTGGTCTTTGTCCAGAACCTAGAAACAGAGTTTATGGATTGATTGTGTTGCATGTTTGGAAGTGTGGATTCTTTACATAAAGTCTCAGCAAAAGCCACTTCAGACCAACCAAAACAGCAAAATGAAGCATGCCCAATTTCACCTTAAAAGCCTGAAGAATCGTGCTCTTGGGAATGGGAGGAAACCTAAAAGACACATGAGAGCAGAGTTTATTTTTCTGTTACCAGGCCACATGTGTAACACAGAGGCCAGACTGGACAGTTTGTTCTATATTCAACTTAGAATAACAACTTAGAGGATGGAAAACATGTATTTACTTAGTCATATTACAGCATCAGTGATTAAAAACACAAAAGGTCAAGCCATATGTATCATAAAGCACATAACATTAAATGCTTAGAATGCTAGGATAACCACAAAATTGAACCAGGTACATTTTTCTCTGAAGAGTGGAAATATTTGCTTCTTATAAAGATAAGTGCTTCAAGACCATGAAGCAAACAGGGAGGGAAGGAAGGCTTTTACATTTTGAAAATGAAGCATTTTAACAGTTCCTAATGTTCGTATGTCAAGAGTTCATAATCACCCTTAATAAGACTGTAAGTGAGACAACTTGGCAAAAGAAAACACAAAGTTTAGTTAAAACCTTTTTTATTGTCAGGACTGGAAGCTTAACATCTACTTTTAGGATGGAAGTAATTAACTCATGTAAACTTTGTTAAAATTTTGACTTGTTTTCTGCCTGGATTAGACAAAAAAAAAAAAAAGTCAACAAAATAGCTCTGATTTTAAAATACACCTCTTCAGGACTAGCAATGTTTTATGCAGGTTTTGTGTAATAAAAGATAACACTAGACAGTTTATTCACCAGTAGGGGATAACCATTCTATGTAAAGATCTCTTACATGGGTGCATAAATAACAACAATAAAACTGTTGTAAAATAAGGAGGATCATTGCCAAAAAAACAAACCAAAACTAATCTTAAAAAAAATCTGCTGGTATTGTAGAGCCAACAAAAACCACCTTACTTGTTCTCCAACAGGACTTTGGTCATAGCTGGAAGAAACTTTTCTAGAAAAACAACCCCTGAGTGCTCCTCTTCCACCTAGGTGAACAAAATAAAAGGTACCAGGGTTTTACTCCTTAAACAAACCATAAAAGACTGATACTTTCTCATGTTATTATTTGTTCATGAAAACAAGCTTATTAAATGACTGGTTTATTTACAGTATCTCTCTAAATAATCAAAATAAGACTCTTCCAACCTCAGCTATGAATTTATGAATGTCTGCTTGAGTGGGGCAGCAGCCCAGAGAATAAATAATGGTGCCAATCTCCCTGAAAGAAGCATACACATAAAGTGGGTTAAAAAAACATATTTCTGCTTAGTGCAGAACCGTACAACTTCAGCATTTGGTTTCAATTTCCTTTTATAGTTATTAAAGCAGAAAAGTAATAATAAAGGTTCTCAGAGTCTAGGAAATAGATCTAAAATAAGCTATAGTCTGAATTATCTGCTTAAAAATGTCTTTCCTAATAATAAAGCCATAACTTCTCACAAGAAAAATATTTGAAATAAAACCTAAATATGCAACAATTACAGAAAATCCTACACAAACTAGTTCCAGATTAGATGGATGCTATTTTACTGTTTTATTATAGACATAATAGTTAACAATGTTTTTTTTTTTTTCCATCAATTTCCAGATTTTTGGTCGCTCAACTTTTCTTGAACAAGTTTGGGCACAGCTCTAAAACTGTAGGTATAACCTACTTATTCACCCAGTACAGCATTAAATAGTATTTCCTAATAACTTTCTCTAATAGAAATATATATATATATATATATATATATATATATATATATATATATA